AAAGAAGTAGCTGGATAGTATCCGGATACTTCTTTTTGATTACTGAAATCAATATACATATTGATATTATCTGAAAAGTTTAATATTCTGTACCTAAAAATGAAAAAAAGAACCCTTTGCTGTCCATCTGTCCGTCTATCAAGATCCGTTTTACCTAAAATTAGACCAGTAATCGGCGAGATTCTACATCATCATCATCATAAGGTCGTCAGTCCTATGACTAGTTGGAAACGCATCTCTACTCTTTCCTATCCTGAGTTAATCTTCGCATTTTCCTAAAACTAGAACAACCCACATCCTTAACTACTTGCGGACTGTAATCTAATCTAGGTCTAACTCTACTCCTTCTAACTCCCGTATCTGCCTCTAACATGTCTCTGATTGGACTTTCATATGCCTGAGAAGGTGTCCCACCAAGCTATCTCGCCTATTTCTTATTGACTTCCATAGAGTACTCTGTTCTCCTATTCTTTCTAATACCTTTTCATTTCTAACCTTTTCTACCCACGATATCCTCATCATTCGCCTGTAACACCACATTTCGAACGCCTCTAACCTTTTCTTATCCGCCGCGCCCACCGTCCATGTTTCGAACACGTACAGAGCCGCGCTCCAAACATACACCTTTAACCGCCTTTCTCGAATTTTCAAATGAATCGTTCGCAAGCACAGAAGCATCTTAATAGCGGTGAAAAATGCAATAGCACCTATCTTCCCGAGTGTGTAGATATTGGGGGCCCAGTTGATGTGTAGATGAGAGCTTTGTGCCAGGGTCCTTTTCATTTTCATCTCCTCTCGCGGGAGAGGTTTCAGAAGAGGTTTCTGTGTCATGGCTCGCTTGCATCTTGCATTGTCGTGTAGTATATACCACTGTATGTCTTTCCATCCGTACGTTTGTTTAATTGGCGACGAAAAACAGCGAAAAGCGGCAGAAAGAGCGTGCGAGATGTGGGAATGTTTAATAAACTTAATTATTCTCTTTTCGTTAGATTGTCATAATAGCAGCGATGAATCTGCGCACGTATATTCGTGTCGAGGACGAGAATTGACTTTTGAAATAAACCATTCATTAAAAAAATTGAAACGGACGATAAAGCGCTCGAAATATATTTCTTTAAGGTCCTCTTAGCATTGGCAGGATAATACCTGCACACTCTATAAGCAAGTGTTATTGTTCATTAATAAAAGATTAATTGGAAGAAACATTTCAAGTGGTGATGTTGCAAAATGCGTATTATAATAAAAAGGCAGATTAGTGCGAGAATGATTCGCGAACTCAAGGCTTCTTATTACCGTTATTATACCATTTTATATGTATAAAGTTTATATTAGTCATAAAATAAGGTACCTACCTGATACAGCTACTTTACAAATATGTAATTGCACTCCTAAAAATAGACAGGTACGTTTGTCACACCATAACATTTAAATAATAAATTATTACAAAATATTTTTTTTTCGTAATTGTACTACTTACACATAAAAATCCAAAATATGACAACCGCACTACCCATCACATTATTTCTTGTCCCGTTCACCATTTTTGTCAATTACACTGAGGTCTCACTTGCACTGTTTTTAGTTTCAAACTGTCTTTCACTTAAATCTCACTGATGGAAATCTACAAGAACTATATGTTCCCACTCTTGAGTTCCCTTCTCTTTCGATGTCATACAACAACAAGGTGTTATTGTTAGTGCACAAACGTACATCAAAACAGGAAAATTTATTTATAATATATATGTATGATAGTGTACTTATTTAATATCAACAAGAATACAGCCTACCTACTCAAATACAGCATCAACCAAAAGGTTAGTTTAAGAGAGAAATAGATAGAACTAAAAAAAATTACGTTTTGTAATTTTTATTTTTTTACTTATTGCTTGATCCTCTTTTAGAATTATTGAGAAAGAAAAATAAATGTCTTAGCGTTTCTTCACGTCGGTGAATTATCTTGAGCTAATTTTGAAGGAAAACTGAAATATCTTTTGCTGGCCTCGAAATGAAATAGCACTCCATTAAAAAAAGATGATTAAGAAACCATAATGAATTGCGACTTGTGTAATCATTCGCATTTGCACACATGTGCGCCTTTTTACAATGTGAATATTTATAAAACGTTCGGTTTTCGTCATAAACTTTTGTGTGTTGCTTAGGTATTTGCAGAATATTGTGACGAATATCAGATTTGGGATTAAGTTTTCTGTCTTTAAAATCAGAAGCGCATTAGTAAATGAGGATGGAGTGAAGATTAGGGTTAAAATCCTTTCGCTGCCGAGTTGGCCAAAGCTTTTAAATCCCGTTCCAGTGTCGGTCCTGGGCAGCAAGCTAGTGAAAAGCTTTGCGGCATAGAACTATGCACAATATATCACCGTGGAGAGACAAAAAGTGTGGAGCTACCACAAGAAATGACGCCTCCATTCGGTGACACTCTTCTTTTCTCGTCACCATTTAATTTCGGTTTTTGCGTCCTGTTAAATTATCCTTCTTTCTATCTCACTCTGTATAATAGAAAAACAACCCCTGCCTAGTGTTTTTTCCTTCTAATAAAATGTGTATCATACAAGCATCCCCTTAATTTTAATATGTATTTATTATTATACAGCTACAAAATATTTACCACTTTAAAATACTTCATTGTTTTTTAATTTATTAATTTATGGAATTTGTAATACTTAGGTTTATTCTCCGACCTTTGTCTTCAACATATAAAATTTTCATATTATTATAAAGCCTTTGCTTTTTGTTACTTACTTAAATATTTAGAGTAAGTAAACATAGCTGGTGTTTAATTTTTAAAACTTTTTCTGTGTTCTTTTATTCTCTCTGAAAATGACGTATCTGTTTGTGCAGCGTATATTTCAACACAATCATCACAATTTAGTAGGTAAACTCCTGATGGTGTGACATTTTTGTTGTAACGTTTTTATTATTTCTGATGAAATTATTTAAGAAATGGTTTACTTTAAAGGAAACCAAATAATTTCGAAAATTTCTAGGGTGTGTCTGCATTTATTATAAAATCGTATAGTAATTTAATTTTTGGTACCTGCAAACCATTAAACGTGATAATCGATCATTCATGTAGGGTTTAGTGGAAAACTGCTAACGTCAGTGTAGGTTAAACCTGTTCGCATAATTATCATTAGGTCGATGATATTTTAAAGAATTGTTCATTTAAAATGCATTTTATTTAGCCTTCGTGTTGTGTGTACAAGTCGTTTTGAAATAGATTAGAACAATTTGCTAGGGCGTGGTGTTCTTAAACTTGTTTAACTTGACCCTGATTCCAACTGGTCTATAACAAGATCTTTAATTTCTCTTGACAGTTAATATTTAACAACATTAACTACTTTTGTTGTAACATTGTTTTATTCATAGTTGCAGAAGAACAAAATAGTTGACTTTCTTGTTTTATAAGTTGACATTTAGATAGAGAAAGACAGATTTAAATGAATTTTACTTTTTGGGCGCGTTTTTGTCGTTTACAATTTAATTATCTTATTCGAAATGGTTGTAATGTAGGCAATTGCCCAGCTGTTTCATTATTCAGAACAGTGTACATGATGATTGCGCCTGTCCAATTGAATAAACAACCTTTTTAATCAGACTTCAGTACAGAACGGTTTTTGTCGAAAATCAATATGCAGTTTAATATTAGGTAACATACTGACAGCAGTTGTTGTTATTATTATTTCTAATTGCCTAATTATCTAAAATAATTGTTCCATTTAGTTTCATTGTTCCAGTATTTAGTTTCATCGATAGATATATTTTATTTACGTATACTATTACCCTACATCAGGGTGCATCTTTGGTTCGCGTGAAAAAAAAAATCGATTCGAATTTAAGTCAATCAGCTGTTTCGAAGATCTATAAATATTTGATGATAATTAATGATTCAGTTCGTTTAATTCAGCGTTAAAACGGTTTGAAGTTTGTTCCATTTGTCGAAAACTTGTTTGAATAGGAAATGGATACACAATTCTATACAAAGTCTTCTGTAAAGGGGTATTTTCTCTTCTTGCACATACCAATAGGTAGATAGGTACATTACGTAGGATGCTTCTGACAGAGAGATATCTCACCATTGTCCTTTGTCGTTGAAAAATAGGTACGCATATCATCTGTCACATTTAAACTAGATGTGGGTATCGGATAAGGGCATTATAGTGACATCCGATGATAAGTATGCATTGATACAAAAATCAAACGTCATACGAGGTCTATTCAAAAAGTATCGCAAATTTTGTGTTTTTTCAAAAATTATTTATGAATATCTATCTTGTAATCCCCACCAGATATTATACACTTGTACCAACTTCAAAAAATCATTTTTTGTGATTTTGTTTAGCTCCTCTTTCGATGCCGTCTTTATCTCCTCAATCACAGCATAGCGTGGTCCTTTCATGGGCCTCTTCAGTTTCGGGAACAAGAAAAAGTCACAAGGGGGCAGATCTGGTGAATACGGTGGCTGCGGCATTATTAGTGTGTTGTTTTTGGGCAAAACTTCGCGCACAAGCAACGATGTGTGATCGGGGGCGTTATCATGTTGCAAAAGCAAATTTTTGTTCTTCCACAAATCCCAGCGTTTCTGGCGGATTGCTTTGCGCGCAAATTGCGCTTAACATGCAGGTAATATTTCTTATTGACCTTTTTATCCTGTGGCAAGAACTCATGATGCACCATGTCCCTGCAATCGAAGAAAACTGTAAGAAAAATCTTCACATTCGACCCAACATGGCGCACTCTTTTCGGTCTTGGCTCGTGTGGCAGCTTTCATTAGTATGATTGAGCTTTGGTTTCCACGTCATAACCATAAATCTATGATTCGTCATCAGTTATGACCCTCTGGAGCAAATTTCGGCCATCGCGAACAGAGTCCAACAGCTCCTTAGCAATGTTAATGCGATACTGTTTTTGGTCGGAATTGAGCAATTTTGGTACGAATTTTTCGGCGACCCTTCTCATGCCCAAATCATTGGTAAAAATCGAATGGCAGGAACCAATCGATATGTTTAGGTCCTCAGTAACTTCTTTAACCGTGATTCGATGATTGACTAATACTGATACAGATTCTTTGATCCATTTTTTAGAACTGGCGAAAATCGAAGACGAGCGAAAACACGTGCAAGCAAAGCAACTGTCAAAAATTAACTGAACATTTAATCTGTGGAAATTCAAAAGTCGCTTTACTTTTTGAACAGATCTCATAAATGCGAAAAGAGTTTTAGTAATGGAACGATGTCGATGTAGCCTTTGGTATTATCACCAATGTAAAATCATTTCTTTGTTCACTTCTATGCCATTAGGTATAGGTATAAGGGGTTTTAAGAAATTAAGTGTAAGAATTTAATGGGAAATTGAACAATATTCGTGAAACAGCTTCTGCTCTACGCTGTATGAAGGAAACCTTCAACTCTAGTTTCCCAAAACTAATAATTCCACATCACACAAATTTCCTTCGGGATAAAGTTCAAATTTGTAGGTGAACGGAAAGTACCTTATGGGGGTTTTAATAAATTAATCAGCCTTGAAGTTAGTGTTAATTGAACTATGGGGCAATAAGTCTTGCTTGCTGTTTGATATTAATCTTCAATCGATACCTCTATCAGTTCTTGAGAAAATGGATCTTGATGGACAGTCAGGCAAATAACAAAAAGTGATCCTATAATGGGTTCCATTTTTTGTTTCGAGATAAGGAAGCTTAAAAACGCTCAGAAAAGTAAGGAAATTCTTTACAACATGACCTGGAAGCTCAATATTAATCCAATTAAGAATGGTTATGAGATCCTCGAACGGGATTTTTTCCAAGAAAGTATAATAATAAGGGAAGGCAAATTGATGGAGAATGTAATCTGTCATGTGGAATCACAAGGATAAATTAAAATATTTTACAGTGAATTGCATGAATATTAGCATTTGCTCAGGGGAGTGGAAGAAAATTAATTAATACCAAGGTGTTAAATTTTAAAAAAATTGATTTTCTTACGTGACATTTCAAAATATAAAATACTTGCAAAACGTCAAGTGACAGTTTCAGTTTGTTTTCGAATAAGTTTTGTGTTACTCTGTTAGGTAGGTACTCATCGTTTTCACTATTTCTCTTCAAGGTGAAGCATATAATGTAGCCATGTATCCTACATAATATAAAGACGCGGTTCGATTAGCAATCAAACCCATCATTACGAAAGTTCGTTGACTTTCGTTATCTTTGGTTTCATCTTGAGGCGTGCAATTTTGCGTGTTAAATGAACACGCATTAATTGGACCCCCTGGTTAAAAGTGAGTTACAATCGGGACATTTTGCATTTCTATCGGTATTACTCGAAAATTAATAAAAGAGGACAAATATATCCTCTCCTTTTATTTTCTACACTTTAAAAGAGCTCCAACGAACACCCAACACGATAAAAGAGGTTAAATATAACCTACTCTATTTTCGTCCCTAAATTTTAAAAGAGCTTCAATGAATATCCTGTACGATGGGACATGTGTAGAAAAAATTATTTCATCACTTTACTACAAGAGAAAGTACCTTGCAAAATCGAATAAAAAAATGCTATAAAGTAAATGGAAATCGTCGATTTTTGACATCGAAAGCTTCTATACTATTAACTGAAAGCTGGATAGTATCCGGATACTTC